TGGAGGAGGAGGAGGAGGGGAAGGTACCACTGCCCCGGGAAGGAGGGAGAGCCGCCAGCAGAGCGTCCCGGTGGCACGCGTCGTGCCCCGTGGAACTGGCGCTGTGGAGGCTGCGGTGCGGCCCGGGAGAAGGGCCGTGGTTCCTCAGGCCAAGTGCTGCTCTCTCTTTCTAGAAAAGGCAGAAGGAGATGCCCTGTGCGACCGCGAAAAGGCTGAAACGGGAGGCCAGGCCCTCGGAGGGGACAGAAAGGTCTCTGGGACAAGGCAGTAAGGAAGAGGGCATGTTCCAGGTACGGAGGGCAGGGAGCCACTCTAGGAACAGGTCTGCCCTTTGTACAGGTCTCCCCTCTTTTAGTGGGGAGTTTCTGGGGTGCCCCCTGTTCCTTCACCACCCTGGCGCTCTGGGTGACCCCACGGGCCCGGTGGGCTGAGGAGCGGCTGCTCGTGGGCTGGTTTAACACAGGCTCTGTCGTCGCAGATTGGGAAGACGCGTTACGTCAGAGTGTCCTGCTTCAAGGGGAAGGTCCTCGTGGATATCAGGGAGTTCTACGCTGACAAGGAGGGCAACTGGAAACCAGGCAGGAAAGGTAGAACCGTGTTTGCTGGGTGTTGGCCAGGGGCTGTGCTGGCCCCTCCGCCTCGGCTGCTGGCCCTCCAGTTCTGGCTTAGCCTCTCCCCACGCTGTGGCTCTGGAGAGCTGAGCAAACCACACTGGAAGGTTCAGCACTTTCTCAGCCTGGGTGGCAAAACCTGCAGAATAGGGCAAAGAATGAGGGATTGGAGCCTCTGGTGAGATCTGGAGCTTGGCACTGTGAGGCAGTGCAGGAAGCTGCTGAGAAGGACTCTTGGTGCCACCTTTGGTCAGCAGTCCTTTCTCTGGCTGCTGTCAGGGGCAGAGCTGCGAGGGGAGGGAGGGGAGGCTGAAAACACTGGCTCTGATGTTGCTGCCTGGTGTCCTTGTGCTGCTAGCTAACAAACCTCCGTTTGGGTACTGGTGCTGCCCAGGGTGAGAAGGTGACATTTTTGCCCCTCATCTGTCATGGTGGAGCTGTGCTCGGTAGGGAGAGCCTCCCAGAAGTAAATCCATCCTTCCCTGGATAGGTGAGGAAAGGAAGGTTAAGGCCCTCTGGATCCCTCCCAAGACATTCCAGTGCTGCTGTGTTAGGTGTTCCTTACCCTTTTGGCAAGGTGTTTGACGGTGCGATCCAGTGGCACAACTTGGGTGGCCCATCACGGCAGCACTGGCAGAGGCAGCTGGGCAAGGGGAGACACATTGTTCTCCAGAGCTCTTCAACTGCTGAGTCAACACCCAACTTGGGCCTTTCGCTTCAGGGTTTTGACAGTGAGTTGCCAGCTTGCCTGGTCATTCACGGGCCCTGGGCTCTTCACCTGCGCAGGAAAGGTTCAGTCAACGTGGGGTTTCTTGAGGAGCCTTCTGGTCCTTGCTATAGATTTTTGTGTCAGGGCAGATAAATTTGTTTCAGCTTGGTTTGCTTCTAACCGCTAAGCATAGTTTTCCTTCCAGAAATTAATTTCCTTCTGAGAATTAACAAGTGTAAATTACTCACTTAGAAGGAACTGTGTGCCCTGTAATGGAAACGGGAGGCAAAGCCCTCAAGCTTTGCTATGCCACAGGGGGCAGAGCGGGAAGGGAGGGTTGTGGACAACTTCTAGGCTGGAAAAACGACACCTGCAACATAAGACAGATCTGTCAGTTAAAACAGAGATCACGAAGAAATGCTTTTTCATTTAAATACTGCCTCTGCTGGTTTTCTTAGGAGTTCCTGGCCTCTGATCTTTCTCTAGAGAATTTAATAACGCTTGGGCCCTAGTTTTTTAACACAATTCTTAACAAAGCCAAAAGGAACGAGTTGACAACATCTGGCTGGAACCCACACAGCAATTGTGTTACCGCGTTTGTTTTGTAAGGGAGAGGGACTGGACATCAAGACCTTATCTCTGCTGGATCTCGGAGCCACGCTGGTGATTTCGTGTTAGCAGTAGCTTTGGGGTTTTTTAAATCGAGCTAGAGCTGGCATTTCCTTTGGGCAGTTCAGAGGACGGTGGCCTAACTGCTGCGTGGAGTAAGGTTCTCCTAGAATTTCTTCCCAGTTCGTATCAGTGGAAATTTGTTCTAGGGAATAGACTGTAAGGGGCTGTGGGAGGCAGTTTAAGCTTACATTCCGATACGGTGTTTCTGTGATAGCACTGGGTACTTCCCGATGGATGCTGAAGCGCTGGCACAGCTGCCGTGCTTGAAGGCTGCTCCTGGTTCTCGTGTGTGCCTCTACCTCAGATTCCAACCTTCCTTTCTGTAGCTCAGGAGGAGACGTGGTGTGTTACTTGATGCTTACCCCTTGCCTCTGAAACCTCTCCTGCTGCCCCTAGGAATTGCCCTGTCTGCAGAGCAGTGGAACCAGCTGAAGGAGATCATTCCCGAGATCGATGCTGCAGTCAAGAAATTGTAAGATGGAGAATCTTGGACACCTTTGATCTGTTTCCTTAAGTGCACTGGTAACTGTAAAACCAAGGATTCTCGCCTGGAGCGCACCTTTCTGGGGTTCCCTCACCGGGGTTGTGGTCATGCTGAAAAGACCAGAGACACTCTGTTTTTAAGAAGTAGCTTGTAATGAGCTCCCGGAACGAGAGCCAGTGCTGTGAGGTGAGACACCAGCACTGCTGGTCTCTGGCAGACTTGAGGTCTGTGGTGGTGACAGACATGATCCCAGTGATCCCAGACTGGCTTTCCAGGGGTAGGGGGCTCCAGCCTGCCTTGTGGGGTGCTTTAACTGCTCTGCCTCTGTTACTGTCTTCCACCTGGTTGACTGTCGAGTAAGATGGTTTGTACCCCGTGTGGCATCCTCTGTGTTCTTCCACGTGTCAGCCTGGCCGTTTCAAGTACTTTCTCTGTTGGTGAGAGTTGTTGGGTGTTTTGGGGGCAGAGTTGAGTGAAGAAAGGGATTATTATGCTTTAGCAGCTGGTTTGTCTGTAGAAGGTGAATATGCACAATAAAAGTGTTTGCATTATAAAAAGGAGAGGCACGGTGTTTCACAGGCTGGCGCCTCAACGCCCCGTTTCAGGCACCCTTCTTGGTAGGCTGCTGTTGGGTTTCCCTTTCAGGAGAGTGCTCAGCAGTGGGTATGCTCAGGGTGTGTTCCAGTAATCCTGCTGTACAGCAGCAGTCAGACAGCGGCCTACTCCAGGTCATGGGAAGAGCAAGCTAGAACGTGAATCATTCAAAGGGACTGGTAATTAGGGGCCTGTTAAATAGAGGGAAAATTAAAGGCCTAAGGAGGAAAAAGAATATTACTTTCCCTGTGGCAGAGAAAAATGACAAGCTATGGCAAGAGTGGAGAGAGGATATTTTATGCTTGAGCTCTAAATGGATCCCACTCCGGGATCAGCTGCGGCAGGCACAGCCTTCCTCAGCAAGACTTTTCAACAGCTTGCGTCTTCCATCTATTTTTGGTTTTTCTCCTGCCCTGGTTTCCATAGTATCTGAATGCTTCAAGCTCTTAAACACATCTGACACTTGCAACACCTTGGTGAAGTGGGAGGTACCAAGGCCCCTGCTCCGTAGAGGTGCTGGGGCTGCAACAGCTCGGGGTGGTGTGGAAGATACTGAGGTGGAGCAGTGAATTGGAACGAGGCTTTCCTAAATGCTGAATTTGGAACTGCTGGATTAACCTTTCACTAGGGATAGCAGGAAGGGGAAAAAAAACCCCAATCTTTCTTCATAAAACTGTCTCTTAAAAAATTGCGAAGGGCTTGGTGCTGTAGCTGCTTGGAGCAGGGGTGATGGGCAGACTTGATGGCTGAGGCATTCCCCTCTAATCCTGTCTTGAGCTGTTCTTCAGTCCAGTGTCTCATTTCTTCGTTTCAAGTCAGTGAGAGAGAGCATGAGGCTGCTAGACCGAAGCCAGATTGCTTGTGCTGTGAGCTTATTCCCGTGGAATATTTATAACATAGTGTCTCAATACAGTGTTGGGAGACTAAAGGTAATGGGAAGGTAGAGAAATTACAGACAAGGAAGAGGCGAAGGAGAAGCAGATGACGTGGGAATGAACCCGAGATGCTGGGGTGCTCAGTCCTGGGGTACCCAGACTACAGCGCGTGACAAACCGGCCATCTCTGTGCATGAGGCATGCTGCAGGGGTGTGGTGGGGGGCAGAGGGAGAAGCCGGATAAATCACAACTTACATCTTTGCTGATTAAAACCAGGTCCAAGCTGAACTCGATCAGCTGAATTGAGTATTGCAGGGCTCTGGGGCTGACGAGTGGCCTCCCCTGAATTGGGAAAGGAGGGCCACATTCCAGTGTTTTCTGACTAGCTTTTTTCCAAGTGTTGGAAGGAGCGGTTTGCAAACAACCCAAACCTTTTGTGTAACAGGCAACACGACACATGCCTTTTTTTTTTTTTTTTTAATCCTCAAAGAACAGCTGCTCTTGATCAGAAAGATATCTGGAATCTTTGATGTTCATTTCCAACCTGCCCACGGTTATAGACAACTTCCAGCCATAAAATCCACAACCCTTAATTTTTGGTTTGATGCAAAGTTAGTTTTACCAAAATATTAAAAACCAGACCCTAATCATAAATCGGTTGGGATAACATGTACCCACTGGAAGGTAAACAGCAAGGCCTTGGTAAACACGAGCAGCTGAAAGCTTACAGCAAGTCGTACTCTCTACACGGTGGGGGAGTTTTTCTGGTAAGCTCCTAATCTGGCTGCCTCGGAGCTGTTTCCTCTGCAGAACCTTTTGCTCCAGACCAGAAACAATCACACTGCAGGAGTGAGATAGGATATTGTTGCTTGGGTATTTTCTGCCAGGACCGTCTTAACTCATCCTTTGGCTCTTCTCCCTGGGGAGCAAATAGGTAAGGGAAGGCTGATTGTTTGGAAGGATCCTTGAAAGATCCCATTTTCTTTTTTCTTTTCCCCCCTCTTTTCTGGGCTGCTGTGAGGATTTCCTGCCTCAAGTGCTGTCTCCTAGGAGATGTAGAAATTCAGAGCTCCAGCTTGTATTTTCTCCATTCCTCCATGCCTTAAGGAGAGGAAGGAAAGGGCAGGTACTCCTAATGCAAAGTGTATCCCACTGTCCTGTGTCCTTTGAGCCCTTCTCAAATTTGGGTCACTGGAGTTGCACTTCTTCACCTTTACCTTAAGCTGCCCCTGTCTAAATCCAATCGCTCACGTGCTGCAAGAAGCCAGGGAGGTCCAGGCGTGTTTAAAGAAGACACCTTGGGTGTTTTCACTAAAATGTCTCTGCAGAAGAGAAACTTCCTGGGCACACGATGTGCTTTTCACGTTTCTGTTTTGAAGCAGCATCTCGGGTTTGGGCAGAATCTGTCCCTTCATCCTCTGGATCTGAGCTCTGCCGTGCCCCTTCGAGCTCTCCCTCGCAGCCGCCTCAGCGACAGATGCAACATGTTTCTTCTTCATCTGCGACGGTGACCTGTCACTTCCCTTTTTCACTCTCTCTTGGTGCAACGACTCTTTTATCTACCCCTTAATCCCGTTACTGTGGTATAGAATTCTCTGATTGACAGCTGTTCTGTTTCTCATTTACCCGCAGTATTTTCATGTCTGTTTTTCTCTGCTGCAGTTGGGGTGACTATAGTATGTCCATGCATGGGCTGCAAAAGATACTGGATGTAGCTTTCCCTCCAAACAGGCATTTTCTCCTTGAGGCACTGGGTCGCTCGAGCTGTAGCATAAGCCCAGCGTAGCCTGTGCCGCAGCAGCTGCCGTGACAGGCTGGGCGTGGATAGGTGCTTGAAAACATCACTTGCTGAACATGATTCATCCAAGGTGAGGTTTGCTGCTGTTGTGAGAAAGGTCTCGTGGTTTTAAGACTGACTTATCTCTTTGTAGCTTTTCAAAATAACATCAGCCCGACTTGTCACAGGCTTCCCAGCTGGTGCATCTGTGGCTTCCACGTAGGTGGCAGAACCCTGGCAGTCTCTCCCAGAGATGGAAGTTTGACCAGTCCGGGGAGCTCTGTTTTCTGAGGGTGAATTTTAGGAGTGGTACCACCCTCAAACACAAGGCAGCACTACAGCGAAGGTCTTTAGACACCTTGCAATGGCCCCTGGGTTCAGGCCAGGCCTCAAAAAAACTGCGGGCGTTTGAGTCCAGTTCAGTGAAAATTCTGGATGTGAATTCCAGGCTTTGAGCTTGCTGGCCCTTAGTGTCCTGGCAGCCCCGCACACGGATGGGGATGATAGCCAGGGCTGGAGAATAAGGGTACAGAACGGTAGCTTGGAGAAGGGTTGAGATTCTCTGGTGAGCGCAGGAGAGACGAGGAATAACTGCACGTTGCTTTCCTGATGAGGGCCAGCACGTGCCTCTGGTCCTGCAGGGGCATCTGTCACCCTCGCCGTGATTTCAGCCTGGGAGCCAGGCGGGTGCTCATACACAAACAGTTCTCTCGAGTCCTCCGTCTGCTCCGTAGGGTCGGGAAAGCTTCTAGCAGAGAGATTAAGCAAGGGGAAGGGAGGCTGGGCTGTGCCTGCACCACAGTGCTTTGTAAAGCCTCAGGCCTGGCATGCCGGGGGCTGCCAACGCCC